CTCCCAACAAGGCTGCAAGCAACCACTATTAAGTTGGGACTTACTAGGTTATAGTTAGAGTTATAGAGCAAGGAAACGGTTGACAGAAGACTTGAAAAGTTGAAGGTTGTATGAGTCAGGAAAACATGAAGATGGGAGAGAGTTCCAAAGGATTGAAGTGCGGGGAAAAAAACTAGATGAATAAAAGTTTTTAGAGCATGCAGGGACAGATACAGTAAACGAATGAGACTTGAATGATGAGTAAAACGAGAATGAATTTTAGTTGATGGAACTAGAGATGATAACTCCTTTGAGCAGTGACAATCGATTGCTAAATTAGCTCCTTTGAGCAGTGACAATCGATTGCTAAATTAGCTTCTGCGAAAGGTTGCTTCTCTTTATTGTGCTCGCCACATCATCTCTAGTTCCATCAACTAAAATTCATTCTCGTTTTACTCATCATTCAATGCACGAATGTTAAAACCAGCAGATCTTAATGAATTTAAACTTTCTTCTATTTCATCTTTAATAAAATCTCCAGTAAGACTAATTTCTGAGATAGCTTTACTAACATATGGCATTGATTTTTTAAGACCAACGATCATGAACACAATTATTCCTTTGTAAAGATTACCCTCAGTGTCTTGACCAATTAATCTACCACTGCGGTACTCACAAGATTGCTATAAATACATTTCATCAAAAAGGAGAACACAATCATTGCTTATTTTTCCTTTATTTAATAACAGTTTTAATGAATTTATTGAATCAATTCCACCAGAAACTAACTTCTTTAGTAGTGACATTGATGGCAATGGGAGTTGTTTCAAAAAAATGGAATAAGCCTGAAATGATGAATATCTTTGCATAAGTGCAAAACGTAGTACTTGTGAAGAATATGGAGGACGACCTTTGGATTTTTAAAAAAATAAATTTGATAGTTCATTAACTAAACCAAACGAACTTTCTTCAACAAGTTGTGCATATAAGACACCAAATTATTTAAAATCGATAAACTTGTAAGCTTACAATTGTTAATTGTTCTAAACCATTTAAGGAGTGGAAGTGGAGAACTTTTGTAATGTAACTTTACGTGCAAATTGTTATCGATGCATATTGATTCAATAAATGGAGTTGTGTCTACAAAAAATTAACGATAATATAAAACAAAACTTTCGTATCTTTGAAAACTAAATCCATTTGGAGAGTTAGATTCATGAAGCATATCAATGTTTTTTATTTTATCCATTTCTTGAAATGTATGAATTTCATCTGGGATGGTAGAATGTCAGTCAGTTGGAGGTTTATGAATAGTAGAAATTTTAGGTATTATAGAAGATGGAATAGAAATTTCATCAGAATAAATGGTTGGAACAGGGTTTAGCTCATATTTTAAGGTAACTCGTTTTCCATTTTTTAAATACTTTTTTTCAAAATGGTCCAAGCATATAACTGAATGTTTGCTTGGCTTCCAATATTTTCTGTTAACAAATTTCATCCATTTTTCTTCTAAAACAGTATCTTTAGAAAAACTAAAAACAGCTTTACTTGCACTAAGTGAACTAGATACATTTTTTTTAAATTTATAGCCAGTTCGACGATTAAAAACAGCACAATTATTCACCATTATATCCAAAACCAAATTTCCAATTTAATCAATATCTCCCAAAATAAAATTTAAACAATATTAACTGGCTGTATGAAAAATAACTGAAATGCTAAAAACAGGCCTTTTAATTTTTGGCCAATTTATGCAACATATCCTGCCGTGTATAAAGTAGGCCATGATCGTTGGTATACAAGGGAAATGCACAAAGTCCAAAAACATCAATTTAAGAAAGTGAACAAAAAAACAAAATATAGGAACAAAAGGTTTTTGTGTAATGGTTGAAATAAAAAATCTAAATAACTCATTAATAATTGATTTAATAAATTTGTGTGGTATATCAAACAATAAAGAATTTAAAATATTAAATAGTGGTATAAAGAACTTCATACTACCAAACATAAACTAAGTGCATTTCCCTTTTATACCAACGACCTAAAATATTTACAAATAATAATGCAGAAAATAAATTATGCAGAAAACTTACTTGTCCCCCTTCAATAACAACATTTGTAAGCTTAAGTTTTTTCTCAGCTCGTTTCAATATAATCTCTTCAACAGTATTTTTTGACAACAATCGAATTATTTTTACAGGCCTACAAAAATTATTTTTAAATTCAAAAATTGTAAGTATACGATAGCGTTTTTAAAAATAAATTTCTAACCATGAAAATAACTAAAATAATTGCATAAGATGTTTGCAATAGTCATGAACTAAATCTAGACAAAATAATGATAAGTAAAAAAAATTAAAATTACTGTCTTAAAAAATATAATTCTAGAAAACAATTAAGTTTTAAAACACGCAACTGAGTGCTGGGAATGAATGAAAAAACAAAGAACAGTTTTGAAGATAATCTTGAAGAAAAATTTTTATAATAAACACATTTTGAAGAAAATCCTAAAGAAAAAAAATTCCAAGACCATGTTTGTACTTAATGTAACTTTATTTATATGACAAATATGATGAAACGTAATATTAATAAACATAAATTTATTTGACATTTTTGTTCTAGTTATCTACTAAAAATCGAAAAAATTGCAAATGCATTTTAACAAATAATAAACTATACAAAAATATAATTTAATATAATAAAAAATAATGTTGGCTTTAAACAAAGAGCAGGATGAGATTTATTCAAAAAATACACACATATATAAAATAATTTTTTATTTATAAAGTGTTATAAATTATTATTTATACCAGTTTTATTTTCACTTTTTAGAATTTTAGTTTTTAAATTTATATATATTTTTTATTTTCTCTTAAGTATAACTGTTTGCAATGTTGAAATTGTCAAAACATAAACAGATGTGACCAAATTTTTTAAAAAATCATATGCTAATAAACCAAAATGGTCAGGAATGGCTTGCATTGCATGCCCCCATCCCTGACAACTTCTGTTATCCTTTGATTTACTTTATAAAGAACTTTTTTTAATTAGTTATTTAGTTATTTATTTATGTTCCAAGAAGTCCTGATGGTCTTATCACAGAGCACCTAACCCAAATAGCACTTAACCAAGAAGTTCACGCCTCCTTCCTTACCAATGATGCATATATGAGTCCATGAACCTCCAGTTCTAAAGCCAGAGCTCTAACCACTACACCATGGTTGCTTTAATTAAATTTGAAGACCATAGTTTGAATTCAGGTACCACAGCATGTTTATTGGTATACAAGTGATACCAAGTCTACCTATAAAAACTGTCTGCCTAAGTAAATAATGTCTACCAATAATAACCAAATAATTTCCTTAATTCAAAAACTTTATGAAATCAGGACTTCTAGTTTATATTGACTTTACCTATATTGTCCAATTCGATGAGATCTTGCAGCAGCTTGAAGATCATTTTGAGGATTAAAATCACTGTCAAGAAATATAACAGTATCTGCTGATGTAAGATTTAATCCTTGGCCACCTAAAAAACAAACAACTAAAAGAATAATAAATCAGTATTAAACATTAAATGAAATGGGAATAAAGGTCACAACTTATTTAATGTTTAATAAAATCAAGTTTAATCCAAGGTTTAAAAAATACATGTATTAATCTTGACACTGAGCAGAACAACAAATTTACAGAACAACAAATTTACAGAACAACAAATTTACCAGCACTAGTGTTAAGAAAGAAAAAAAAACGTACCAGCTTTAGTACTGAGCAAAAAAATGAATGTATCTTCTGAACTGTTAAAGTTATTAACTGCAAGAAACCTTTCTTCACCACGAACGGAACCATCTAATCTCTCGTAGGAATAACCTAAATAAAACCAGTAAATAAATAAAAATAAACTCAAATGTCTAAAAAGTCTGATTTACTGCTAAGATAGCAATCATTATAAAAAAAATTACCTCTATAGCCTAAATAATCTTGTACAATATCTAACATAGAAGTCATTTGTGAAAAAAGCAAAACTTTATGCCCACTATAAAAAAATTTAATTTATATCAATATTTTTTGAATGTTTATTTATTATAGAAGGGTATAAAAAATCAAATTTGCAAGGAATAAAATTTTTATTTCATTATTTAGATTGTATTTAGCTGCAAATCTTAACATGTCTTTTCATTTTCACAATTATTCATATACTCCAAAAAAAAAAAGTTTGAATAATGAATAAAACATGCAAATATATTCAAATATTTAAATACTCCAATAGGATGGCCTATTCTTTATATTTATATTCTTTAACATCCCTAGGATGGCCTATTCTTTATATTTATATTCTTTAACATCCCTAGGATGGCCTATTTTTTATATTAAATGTTTTTATTCCTTAAAAAGACATATGGATATTTTTAGAATATTATGGTTCAACAAAATATTAACTTAAAGGTAAGTAATAAAAATAAGTTATGATAATGCTACGTAATAAAAATAATTCTCGGTAATGCTTCTTCTATTATTTAATTTTTTGAAAATCTTCCAGAAATACAATGTCATCAGTTAAAATATAACTGATCAGTTAATATATAACTGATGACATGGTTTATCCTCCAGATAGAATATATTATCTAGCTAGAGATAGTGTTTCAATTAATACAATAACTAACAACAAAGTTATTCACTCATCAGTTCAACAAAAAGGAAATCATCTTCCTAAATGTCCGACAACTGTGATAAATTTAACCCATAAAGATTTTTTCAACATAATCCATCAAGATTTTTCTGATAAAAAGGAAGTAATGAAACAAGAAATTATTGAAAAAATTCAAATGTGACATAAACTCCGCTTAATGCATGATGAATACACACCTTCAAGGCATAGAAAGTACATTGGTGTCAACCTGCACGAAAGCAAATATAAGAAAACATATAAAAATGGCCTAACTAGGATTTAGGATTCCTGTCCAGCTGAAAAATAATAAGGATCATTTGAACGAACGCATTTTTTCGAGCTGCACTAGTTTCTGGACAAAAATCAGATCACAATTATCTAATGAATTATTAAAATCTTTAGTTTTCTTAAAATTTGTTTTCAATAAAAATAAGCCATTATAAATTTTATTTCAAAATAAAAACATAATCTTAAAGCACTTTGTTTAAACAATTTTTTAATAAACAATGCAAGATAAACTTACATAAGTTTTATTATTTAACAAGAAAAACTGAACACCTTGTTGTTGTTTTTTTAATTAAAACCAAAATCGCAGTTTTTTACAAATGCAGTTTTTTGGGAACACTACACACATACACGCACAAGCATACCCACATCTTACCTTTGTTTTAAAAATGCTAGCAGTTTGTCCAAGAGATATAGCTTTCCTATGTAAAAAATAATAAAAATATACAAGCATGAGCTTATATATCAAAACATCTGCAAATAATAACATAGTAGAAAATATAACCTGCCCAAAATCATCAGGCTATTTAATTAGTTATGAAACAAAAATAATCAACTTTGAAACTGGCTTTAAATTAATACACTTTTTATAATTTTTTAAAATTACCTGAGCGTACCCCATATTTGCCATTTTTAAAGTTATCAAAAATTGAATTTTTATGTAAAACTTTAAACCAATTGGCAACTTTTTTAACTTTATTGACTTGACTTTAGATTCAACTGTTCTTGATAGTTAAACTTAAATGACTTAATTTATCCAACGTCAATTTTTGGACTAAAAATTTATAACTTATATATTTATCTCTAAATATATCTAAAAATCTATTATAATAGTATATCAATTATCATTGATTAAATTTACTTATCATTGAATAGATTTGTTGTTGCTTTTTAGTAAACACATAAAAAAAACTACTTTAAAATAATTTCCTTACATGTTGTTAAGAAGAGAAAAAAAAAAGTTACCACTTGATTCAACAAGATGTTCTCCAAGTTGAAATGGTTCTGATTCGATACCTCAATATATAAAATGTAACAAGTATGAAACCAATAAAAAATTAACAACAGCCAAATTTGTTTTACTAATAAAAAAAAAACTTTTAGATCTGAATTATGATTATTACAAAAATATTGTTATAAAAATAATACAAACCGGGAAATATATAAGGATGGTTGCAGCATTTTCGAAGCTGCATTAAAATGTTTAGTAGTCTTGTTTTCTGGCCGCCTTCTCTATCAAAAGCCCCTAAAATTAAAAAAACAGATCAATACTAAATAAAAAAATTGTCTACAAAATCTACATTGAAATTGTATTAAAATAAAAGAAACAAGTACCTAAATCTTTTGTTAAAATAGCTTTATAAAGATTTTTCTGGGTCTGCGAAATCCCACAATATAAAATTACTTCTGACTTCTTTGGGAGATTTTGTAAAACCTGAAATTACAGACCATAACAAACTTGTAAACAATATCAAATTGTTATAAAATACAGACCATAACAAACTTGTTAATAATATGCAATTGTTATAAAATTAACAGTCCTTCAAAAGCAAACAGAAAAAATCATAAATTTTAAATGTTTACTGTATATGTTTTTTTATTTATTTATATTTTATATATCTCTATAAATGCTTCTAAACAATATTTTAAAATCTCCATGAAAAATGTGAATTATGTATTGTGTTGGTGAGTTTGCTTTTTTATTTTGAAAAAAGTAGACAACTATTAAATATTATTGAGTAAAATTTAATAATAATTATTAAATAAAAATTAAAAGGACACAAAGAAGTACAAAATAAAATTTATAACATAAATTAATAAAATTTACAAAATAAAAAGTAGTTAAGAACTTAGTAGTAATAACTTTATAGTATAGTAACTTTTGTCTTGTATCAGTTTGTATATCCTAATACAGTTGCAGCAAAACTGCATTTTGAAAACTCTAAACTATAACACTTTAAATAAAATATACAGATATATAAAAAGTTTTAAATAAAATATATATACAGATATATAAAAAGTTTTAAATGTCAAAATGTTATACTATTGTAAAAATAGTTAAGATAATTGAAATGTTACTTAATTTAATTCACAGTATTAAATAATATTTTCAACTTCTTCCCTATATAACACTTATTAAGTATCATATAACATAGGAGATACTTACTAAGTACCCCTAATACTTACTAAATCTCATATAGGTGAGATACTAAATATCACATAACTTTCCTCCTATATGATATGCTACTATAAGATTCAAAATTTTAAACAATGTTCAAACCTCATTTTTTGTCCTACGTAACAAAAATGGTTTCAACAACTCATGAAGTTCTTGTCTTTTATGTGACTCATCTAAACAAAGGTATCTTTTATGTGATAACAAAAAAAAAATCTGTAAAAACACTAAAAAATGCAAAGAGCTATTATTTATATATTATTATTTATATAAGCCATTTTCTGAATTAAAGAATGTAAATGCAATTTCAATGCACTTTCAAATAAATCATAATATTTATAAGTTATAAAACATGATCAACAAAATGATTTCAAAAATTTTACAGATTTTTTTTTTGGTTAAAATTCATTGAGCAATTTGAGAATAGAGTTTTTTTAATTTTAACTTAAAAAAAATAAACTCCTAATAAACTATTAAACATATTTCAAACCTTTTATTAAACATATTTCAAACCTTCTACTAGTAATGAAAAGTAGCTGACAAACTCATCAATGTTATCAAGCATAAACACAGTTGGGGCAATGAATGACAACAAACTGTAAATCTAAAAGTATTTACGGTAAACAATTAATTCCTTCACCGAATTATGTTTATAAAACAAATATTTATTAACAACAACATTAATAATATTTATTTAGCATTAAAAATACATAGAAATTCTAATACTCCAACAAAACATTTTTCACTGCGATGTTTTATCAATGCACTTTCAATATTAGAAAGGACTCAAAAGGCAGCTGGTGAAAGCTTCAGACAAAATTAAACTCACACACTGTCCATTTATACATTATACACCCTCCATTTATACACCCTCCTATTTACACCAATCATCCCATATACATCAATCTTGCCATAAATATCAACTTAATAAAAATTGATAAACTTTAGTTAAAAATTTTAGTTTAAAAGGTGATAAACTTTAGTTATTATTTATAAAAAATTATCTATTATATATACATATATTATGTTATATATTATATTACATATTATTATATCATTATCTATTATATAAACTATCTTATCATCTATTATATAAATTATCTTATTATCTATTATATAAATTATCTTATTATTATTATATAAATTATTATTATATTTATTTATATATTATTATTTATATATTTATTTATATAATATATTATTATATTTATTTAACAAAAATTTATTATTTAGCTAATTATCATTAGGTTTTTTTTAGCAAAAAAAAAAAAAAAGAACAATAAAATATTTAAAACAAGATTGAAAAACAAAATTTTACTTCTTGCAGATTATTCTGAACTGGTGTGCCAGTGAGCAGTAATTTGAAACCAATATCCATCTAAATTAATATAAATAAAACATTATTATTGATTTTACTTCACATTTTTGTTTGTAACTAGTAAAAATACAATGATAAAAGAAAATTAGATAAAAAAACTAAAAAATCATTAATGTAATGCCACCATTATATAAATATAATAATAACAACTTAACCATAGATAACTCTTTATAGAGTAGCGATGTGTGATTTTTCAGCCTATGAGCTTCATCAACTATCAATATTTTCCAACAAAATCTTAAAATTAATTCCAACAAAGTTAAGCTGTTAAAAACTAACAAAAAGTTAAGCTTGTTAAAAACTAACAAATAAATAATAATAATTAAAAGAAATAATAGTATATATACATAATAATAAAAACTAAAAATACTTTAAAAATACAAAAAATACTAAAAATACATAATACACAAAAATTAATTATAATTTAATTAATTTTATAATTATAAAAAAAACTAATACTAAATAAAATGAAAATAAAAATTTTAATCTTTTTATTGAGTGCATTAAAGACTTGAACAGTTCTATGTTATGTCACATAACTTTAATAATAAAAACCAGGGATGCAGAATGCCAAAGACACTCCAGCTTTATCTCTATTTTTTTTCTGGTCTCTGCCGTCCAGAAACTCTAAACATGTATCAACAACTTATAATCTGCTATAATAAAAAAACTCATGAAATTTAATGACTTTATTGCTTTTAAGCCTAGAGTCCTTGCGATTATACATAAAGACTCAGGGTTGAAAAATTAATTGTTCCTTTAACCTAAAAATCCTAATTTTTTCCTATTAGTTCATAAGCTTTTTTATATTTTTAGAGCTCCTGGATACAAAAAACTAGGAAGAAGTAACCTTTTTGTGACTTTCAAATCCGAAGTCCTTTTTGGGACTCTGCATCCCTGATAAAAACAATTGTTGCTAAAAAAATTTATTTATAATACAACATAATTATTACTAAGGTATTATTAAATAACTTATATTTTATGGTCATAATTTTAATCAAGACATTAATTTATATTTCTTACTTGTTTAAAAAAAAGATGTCTTTCAAATAAACCTACAAGTAAAATGAAAAACAATAATTTTTAAAAAAAGGAAATATATATATATATATATATACATACAAGAATCATTATTAATATTGTCTAAATAAAAGTTGTTCAAAAGTTGTATGTCAACCTGGGTCTCAAAAGAGGCGTACTTTCAGAGAGATTTCAAAAATGTTATTCATTTGTAATAAAAATAAGTACTTTTTGTTATTATTTTATAAGAAACATTTTGTTATAATAGTTTTTAGCATTTCTTTACATAATGTTTTTGTCAAAAAATTTAGAGAAAAAAAAATTATGTTTTCTATAATCCCTATGAAAATACGCTTCTTTTGAGACCCAGGTTGACATACTTTTAAATAACTTTTTTTTCGACATTATTAGGGACTACGCCAAATACTAAAGATTTGAACCCAAGTATCTTTACAACTTGACGTGATGGTGGAAAATGAGTTGCATATTTAAAATCAAAATGAGAAATGCTATACAAAAAACTAATTGTTTGCTTGGCAACAAAAAAATTTTTTTTTTGTTGACCTGTTTAATTATACCAGATATGCTTGCTAACAAAAATCATCTAAAGTTGATTTTGTTTTTGATCATTAACCTTTGCAGAGTATAAAATATGCAGAGTATAAAATATGCAGAACATAATGAAAGATCAACAGAAAGCAATTTTTTGGTCATTATATATAAGTTAAAAAATGATCTGTTTGCAAAAGAAAAAACATATAATACATTTAAAAATTTATCTGGAATACATTAGACCATAGGTGGCCAAACCACTGCCCGCGGGCAAAAACATTTTTAAACGCCCATTAAACAATTTGGATATTTAGGAGACAACCATCTTGGTAATGTGATACTTTTATCTACCTCAAAAATCAATCCTGACAACCAAAAACTTGTTTCAGACGGTCAAGTTCACCACTCTTAATAACTATATTGCTTTGATACAAATGATTATAATAGTTATTTGTCGCCTATATTTTTGTAGAAATAAATATTTTTTGCCCGCAAAACTGTTTTTTAACATTTTTTTTGCCCGTATCCTAATAAGTCTGGCCACCCCTGCATTAAACGTTCATTTTACCTTTATAGCTGAAGCTGTAAAGGTAAAAAAAAAAACAATGTTCTTGTCATTAAGAAATTTTGCCATGCTCACATTTTTGCAAAAGTGCAAAAATAAGAAAGAAAATTCATATGAAAACACTGATTCAGAGATGAGTGACATTGAAAGCTAAAATGAAAATGACTACAATGATTTTTTTTTGAATAATTTTTTATCTTTTTGAAGATAATTTTTTAACTCATGACTATTCCTGGTATTTTTATCTTTTAAGTTTTATAAAAATTTTTTTAGGTGAAAATGCAAAATTTTTGATGTCATATGATTTTTTTTTTTATATAACTAATATCACCTAGTTTAAAAATAATAAATAAAAAGGAGGAAGAAGAGGGCATGTATAACGGAATAGTTTTCTCTCTTATAACAATAGCTCAATATTCGTATAGATAGGTGATTAAAAACAAGAAAATATTTTTTTATTGTTTTTTTATGAAATTTTCGCTTATACAAAATACCGCCCCCCCCCTTACTTAATCCCTTGTGTTCCCCTGACAAATATTTAGCCATATCATGAAGTTACAGCTGTAAGTATTTTATTTTTACAACAAAATAGTTATATTTTAGTCTTTAGAAAGAATAATATACATTTAGTGATTCTTCATATACTCCGTAATTAGAGGTAATTTATTAAAAACTTTAAAAGCTGGTTTGATATTATTCCTTGATGCTTTTGATTTGATTTGATTTTATAGACACTTAAATTTTAATAAACATGATTGTTGGTATAGAAAGGTGTCAGACAAATGAAAATACACTAAAGAAGTAGGTGGGGGTGCTAGGGGGTAGGGGTGAGCAAAAATATCTGAATAACCAGATATCCAAATTTCCGGTCCGATATCCAATTTAAAAAATCCAAAAACTTGGATATCCGAACTGGAAAAAGCGGACTGGTTATCCGATCGGTTTTTTTTTTTATATCCAGATCCGGATTCAGATTACAAATTAATAATAAATCGGATATCCGAATTTGACGCATTTTTTTGCACTTATTAATAAAATAAAAACTTTATATGTATCCGAGATACCTATAAATATCTTATATCAAAACTTAACAACTCACAATCTGCATTAATTACACGGAGATTGTTAAGTATAATAAAATAAATAAAATTGTAAATGTAAATGATCACACCACCACCAACGCAAGTATTGCACATTTGATTGACTGATACATAATTTGTTATGTTATAAATAGTATATAATACTTAATGAAATTGCTTAGAGAAAAATACAAACAAAACATTTTTATCTTTCATCAACAGTCTTGTTATTTACTGACTCAAAGTTTTCTAAAACTATTTAAAACTATTTTCTTAAACTATTCATTTGCTCAAGATCCTTAAATTGAAGGTATGTATGATGTATAGTGATATGTTTTTTACCCATTGAATTTGATTTTCATAGTAAGAAACTTTGTATGTATGATGTATAGTAATATGTTTTTTACCCATTGAATTTGATTTTCGTAGTAAGAAACTTTGTATGGACGATGTATAGTAATATGTTTTTTACCCATTGAATTTGATTTTCATAGTAAGAAACTTTGTATGGACGATGTATAGTAATATGTTTTTTACCCATTGAATTTGATTTTCATAGTAAGAAACTTTGTATGGACGATGTATAGTAATATGTTTTTTACCCATTGAATTTGATTTTCATAGTAAGAAACTTTGTATGGACGATGTATAGTAATATGTTTTTTACCCATTGAATTTGATTTTCATAGTAAGAAACTTTGTATGGACGATGTATAGTAATATGTTTTTTACCCATTGAATTTGATTTTCATAGTAAGAAACTTTGTATGGATATTGGTGTAATGATTGTTACGCAAACAACTCCCTTTGAACATTAATTTCTAACTATCGATTAGCGATTGCAGAATAAGTAATTCCCTTCTAGAAAAAGACTTCTAGTAACTATTTTTCATGTCATTCTCCAAGCCTAAATGCATTCCCCAAGAGACTAATACCGTACAAGGAAATATTACATAAAAACCTTAGCACTAAACTCAATTGAGTTTGAAAAACAACAACACGAGAAAAGCAAACACAATTAATATAATAATTAGTTTTAACAATTTATTATATATAAAAATAAATAAGAAAACGAAACATTACAATTAACTATTTTATACATAATTTCACAAGTTTGTAATATAGTATCATTTCAATTCTCACTTGTTATAATTGATAATTCTTTTTTATATCTTCTGCATATATAGCTTCTGCTGCATTCTTCAATTTCAAAATAATACATTTATATGAATCAGGATTTTTCTTATGTTTTTACTTTTTACGCAGATTAAAAAAATGTCTTTTAAGTTTAACAACAACATTGACAATATTAGGAATTTACCCTAAATACTTGGGACTTGAACCCTAACATCTTTTAGATATTAGGGTTCAAAAAAAGGATTGCATATTTTAAATCAGTAAAAGGAATACTATAAGAAAAACATAATCGGATATCCGATAAAACCGGAACCTAATACCTAGTTTTTAAAAAACATCAACTTTTTCCTATGTCTAATTCAAATTAAAAAATGGAATTTTAGAATCTGTCCAAAACAATTATCCTAAAATTTTTAGTAATAAATAAAATAAATTAAGTATAGAAAACTAAATATATGTTAATTAAATATATAAAAAAAAAATCAAGTAGAATTTACTTAAAAAAACTCTGCATTGCAACTCCTTAAAATTTAACAATTTAATTAACGTGAATTTAAACTAAAACAAAATAGGTAAAACATAAAGTATAAATATAATAATATTAATGTTTAATTAAGTTTGTCAGTTTAATAGTTTTTATATAAAATATATTTATACTTTTTAAATGTTATACAAAATATATTATACATTTATAAAACAATTAACCTCATAAGATGTCAATAAAACATCAAATTCTGTTTTCAGATTTTTCCAGTTTGCAGTCTAAATTGAATAATTTAAAGTGAAAAATTAAAAAAATATAATTAAATAAATAAATTTATTGTTAGTTAATTAAAAATTACAAACTTTACATAATATGATTATACACACAACCTTATGGTATTAACATTATAAAAAATTATGAATAAATAAGCGAATAAACAACAGTTTTAAAAAGTCTATTTTAAATAATAAGAAATGCATTTTAAATAAAAATAAAAAAATGTAATTCTTAAAAAAATATATAACTTAAAGAAAAATTTTTTATCATCTAAACTTTTGAAATATTTAAATTAATATTTAAAATATTAAAATAAGTCAATAACCACTACAATAATAATAATAATAATCAATGTTAAATTATAGCTATTGCAAAAAGAGATTTCAGAAATGCAAAAAATTAAATGAATAATCATTTGATAATCTTTATTGTTTTAAATAAAATTATGGGGAAAGATTAAAGTGGGAAGAAAGAAGCAAAAAATAATAAAAACATTAAATACATATATACTTTAATACAGAAATCAAAAATATTTAAAAAAAATAATATCATTGGAAATATTTACAGAAGAGATGGGAGGAGAAATACAGAACGAATTTAAAAGTACATGTTGCTGCATTAAATTATGGATATACATACTATATAACCATGTTGTAACTGAGGATAATACCTGTTAATAGCTAATTATTGCTCAAAATTTTTACCAGTAAATTACAAAAACTTACTGTTTACACATCTATTTTTTTATGCACAAACTTTTGTATGTATATGAATTTTATTGTGGTATCAATACTTTACTACTGCTTGGATTTTTTGTTTTTACTTTATTTTAAAAGTTAAATAAAGTAAACATAAATAAACAAAATAAAGAAAACATAAAATGCTATGTGAGTGAAAATAGAGTGTAAAGTGTGTAAACAATTTTTAACTGGAAATTAATTAAGGTTAAATGAATAAAATTTTGAAACATTTATTCTAGTCAATAACATTACAAAGTTAACAACACAATCGATTACAGAATTGCTTAAGTAAACTTGAACTATTTCAAATAAAAGTTAATTTTTAAAAGCTGGAAAATTGTACTTAAATATTATTTTTGTATAATTTTATTGTTATTTTAAAATTAGCCAGTTTAATACACTAATGTTTTAATTTACCAGTATTTTACTTTTTAATTGAATAAATGGTAAAACTTTAATTAAATCAACTAAATTCAAATAGTTGATAAATTTACAAATCATAGTCTCGACAACACTTTTAAAATAATTTCTTAGAAATTAAAAATACCAACAACAATAATAATAAGAACAAACCAGATATTTTGAAGCAATTTTCTCTTGAATTTCTTCACGTTGATCTTTTTTGCCAATGTATGTAAGAACGCACAATTCAGGTGCACATCTATGACAATAAAAAGTATAAGCAAAATGTATGCAAGTAAAAGTTATGTAAACTGAACAAGTACAAAGTAAATTTCAGTATACACAATATTTTTTAAGTTATATACAAAGCCAGGAAAACTCCAAGAAAATTTTTATTAATAAAGCAAGCCATGTTATTGAATTCAGATGAAGTAAATAGTAAATCATCCATTACAAATATTTTTTTGTCAAAAAAAAAATCTAAAGATAACATGACACACTTTAAAAAACTTTAAGCTGTTTACTTGTTTGTTGCTTGATTTGAATTTGAATCTGGATTACAATCTGAATTAATTTTGCAAGATGTGATTTTATATTTATGTTTAAACTATTGCGACTTAGTCATCAGTAACTAATTCAAATATTTATTCACAAAAAACACTCACATCAATGATAGAAACATAAAAGACAAAGTTTGGCTGGAGATCAGATAGTGAATGATATTCTAATGATCTTGATTTAGATAATGCAAAAAAAAAAAGTACTTGTATGCCTTTTTTTTTTTTTAAATAAAAAAATTCAAAAAGTTTAGATTTAGGCGCCTAAACTTCAGCAAAATGACCCACTAATACTATTAATTCTTTCTAAATGATTCATTAATGATAACATTGCTATATTAACTAAATAGGTGTAATTGTGTTAACTTATCTTAAATCTACTTCGTAAATCATGGTGACAAAAATTATTTAATTTAATTAATTCCATAAATAATTTAATCAATTGCATGATTTAATTAATTGCATAAATAATTCTACTAATTAACTGTTTTTGAACTACAGTTTACATTGCTGAAAAAAATGTTTTTAAAATGAGTGTATAAACAAACAACCATTCCTAAAAAAAATGAATCTTGAACAGAAAAAACAGTTAGAACATTTTGGATGATTGACAGTGATGGTCAATGATTGACAGTGATGGTCAATGATTGACAGTGATGGTCAATGATTGACAGTGATGGTCAATGATTGACAGTGATGGTCAATGATTGACAGGTCAATTATTCAACAACTTGATATTCTTCGTGCAACTTGTGATAAAGCGATAAAATAAGATCTTGAACCAAGAAACCAAAGATTTGAAAAATTATGCAAAAAAAAAACAAAAAAACAATTACTTCTCAAACAATAGAGAAAACAAAAAGGTGGATCTTGTCAGTCCTTATTTGATAAAAATTTATAAAAAAAATCTTCCTTAAAAATGCAAATTTAAAGAACTTTTTTTACTTTCCTTTTTTCTTTTTTTACTTTTTTCATAGTGTTATTTTTTTTTTGAATTCATTTAAAAAAATAAAACTTCATAATTTTTTTTGATCCATCCAAATCCAGGTAAGGTACCTATTTTTTTTTAAAGCAAAACAAAACTCAGATTAAATGTATGTAAACCACAGGTTGGGATTGCATTTCACACCTTTGTAATTTTCCTAAAAAAAAAACACAATTTCACAATTCCTTTATTTTCTTATTTTGATATAGTGTCTGAATACAAGTTCTTAAACTATAAAATATGTGTTTGTTAGAGGTTTTGTTTGATTTAATGAGCCTGTTTTAATCAAAATATCAGAATAATAACATCAAACTGAGATTATTTTGAGATGTTATGGTCTTGCACTGGTACAGTGCAAGACCAAAACAATACTTAACTGGATTTGATTACTCTTTGAAACAGATATTTAAAAACCCTTGCAAAAATAATCTCATAATAAAATTTGTTATTTGTTTTCTATGTTTTTGATTTAAAATTTGTTTTAAATTAACTTTATCACTTTAAACATTTGTGCTATTTTATATATAGAAGCAAAATGCTTCTATATATAAAATGCTATTTTATATACAAAAGCAACTTAAAAGAAGACAAAGCAGTATAAAAACCTACCAACATAATTAGTAGGATAATAGAATCTTGCACTGTAATGAAAAGCTCCATACAAAATTAGTGATTCAAAATGTGTAACCATAGTTATTTTTAGCCATAGTTATGGCAAAATCATGGCAAAAGCCTTTCTCATTGAAGAAGCTATAACAATGTGATTATGGTGTTTAATAACACCAACAATGACGATTGCATTAACCATAGATCATCAAGGTCATATTTTTAAAATCCAGAAAATTTTTTTGGGTAAAATATCCAGAAAAAATCTGGAATATATATTTTCCCTTAGTTTCCTCTTAACTTTACTTTTAGCTGAGTTGCTTCTTTTTTTTTTTAAACTTTTCTTATGAGTGATTTCTTTTTGTATGAGTGATGAGTGAAAAAGCCTAAAATATAAATATATTATAAAAATATATATCTAAACTTGTATGTCCGGAAAATGTTTTGAATATCTGGAAAACTAAGAGTTGAGAAAAATCCCTGATTAACAGCAGCAACTTCAGTATCACAAGTTACCAAAAACATGTAAACTAGAGGAGGCCAGAAGCACTTAAAACACAAAAAATGTCCAAGTGAGGGATAACAGAGGAAGTATTTTAGTGTAGAAATGTATGAGTGTTGTGGGTGCAAAAAACTTGGTTTTCATCAATTAAATAAGGGACCAACATGTCCCTTTGGAATATTTAATAAATTTTCCAGGTTTTTAATGTTGTCTTTTTTCTTCACTTGGACCAGAGTGACAGCTAGGGAAAATTTTCCAATAGTTAGATATACATTATTAAACACCATTTATGGTGTATAGAACTTCTGGGAGGTTAGGCAAAGTAAAAAAATTGTTGCTTAAAATTAAGTTTTTTAAATCATAAAAATGTTTAAAATGTATAAATTCTCAACAAAAACCAATTTTTCTAATTTCGATTTTCAATTTTACACAATACTCTAACCAGGGATGCGGAATCCCAAAGAGGACTCCAGATTTGAATGTCATAAAAAGATTATTTCTTCCTAGTTTTTGGTATTCAGGAGCTCTAATAATACAAAAAATGCTTATGGACGACTACTGGTAAAAATTAAGACTTTTAGGTTAGAAGAACAATCACTTTTTGAACCTGGAGTTCTTAGGTATAATGGCGGCAAAGACCCCAGGACTCCAAGACTCCGGGCTTAAAAAGAAAATATTCCTCAAGTCATTAAAGTTCATGAGTTTTTTTTATATAGCAGATCGTAAGTCAACCAACATGTTCAGAGCTTCTGGAAACCAGAGACAAGGGATGTACCGAAGCTAAGATTTTGCCAAAGCCAAAGCTTCGGCCGAAGTCACTCTGCCAATGTCGAAGTTTTTGCACTTACATAGATAAAATTTGCTATCTTGCAGATCTAGGGATAATATTAACTGCTGAAAAACATTTTTTAACATTTTACTGCAACATATGTACTGCATATTGCAAAATATAAATACTGCAATTATAAGTATTTTAGTATAACAAATCATCAAGGTTTTTTTTTTTTTTAAATTACACAATGTTATAGGATTTTATGGTTTAATTATGCCTTGTTTGAACAAGTTTAATGTTACATGGAAAAAAGATGACTAGCTAATTAGTAATTACAAATTACAAATTACAAGTTGTATTAGGGTATGAATTATAAAACTAATTTGGCTTCTTGTCAACTTACTCAAGTCTAAACTTTAAAACTATATTATAAAAAATGTTTTGTTTACATTAGTTTGTACTTTGAAGTATAATAAAATTACTATTTAGTAATTTCTAATTACAAACAAGGAAAGTTATTTTTATTATACTAATAATAGTTTATTGCGTTTAAATTAGTTATCTATTGTTAGAAATCAGGCAAATTATAATTAAAAAACATAATCTGTTCTCCATGATCAGGCAACAGCCTGTTTCTTTTGGCTTAAAATATGTTTTCCGTTGTGCTGAACAGAGGTTCTCTTAACGAATGAAGGAGGTGCGCACAAAATTTTCATTGAGAATCTTGCCGAACCCCACTTGTTAGTGTCTTTATTTAAACACCCCACAACTTATAAGGACATTCATTTTTTGGTTGATAAGCTAAAGCAGAAGTGAATCAATTGATGAATCAATTTAAAGTTTAAACTAATATTTTGAATCTTTAATCAAGTAAGGAAAAGAGAATACTCTTATTCATCTTATATATAATAACGAATAAATAATTTTAATTTTAACGAATAAATAAAGTTGATAAATAATTATGCTGTGCATGGAAAATTAAAAATATTAGATGCAACCTCACCGGTAACTATAGGAAGACACAGTCTGTATATAGTTTGTGTCTGCTTGCAGTAATCTTTCTATAATATAAATATAATTTTGTCTACAGGTGTACAAATTCTGGTGTGCAAATAAACCTATAAATAAATTTCTAGTAACGGAATGCAACAAGATTATTAATTTGAAAATTAACATCATTTTAATTAAATTTGTAATAAAATAAGAAAATAACAATTTTATTTAGATATTTTTTATTTGTACCATTTTTCTTTTAAATTTTGAGTTTTTTCTCTAGTATTTTTACTATTATACTTTTTCCCCCTCCATCAGTGTTTTCACGTTTCTGTGAAATATTTTCATTTAAACCCATTTGGTCGAAGAAGTTGTATATGACTTCTTTTGCTTGTTCTAAATGATAATTTACAACAAGCAAGCAAATTTTATATCAATGGTACTACCGCTTTCATTTAGAATATCGATACTCCAAATAAAAGCGGTAGTACCCTTGAATAAAAATTCCTTAAACATGCTATGGTCTGTTTTTTTTTTAAAAAAGTTTGATTTGAAACAGGGTTTGAGCATCATTGCAATTTTCAGACGAACATTATCTTTATATTAATGAGAATGAATTTTAAAATCAGTTTTAAGGTCATCAACAACAGTTTTGATTTTAGTTGATTTGTCCTAAGCATAGTCGAGAAACGGTTTTTTCGGTACATCCCTACCATGAAAAAATAATGATATAAAGCTGGAGTCCTTTTGGGACTCCGCATCCCTGACTCAAACAATTTGTTGTGATTAATCTTGACATCATTGATACAAAGTGAAAAGAAACAGCAGAACGCATTAAAAAAAT